ACTATTTCCCAGGAGGCCACACTGTACAATGTTACTGCATTATGTCATGTAGCCAAGCTTGACTGATGCAATAAAGCGTCGTAATAAAATCAAATCATTGATATTGAGAACAGAAACATAATATCGCATGGCATGACATCATCTGAATTCACTATTGTCCGTACAAAATGAAAGAATCAGAAAACTGAACATGTAAAGGTGAAATGCGGCATCTGCTTGTTATTCCAATACTTTGAATGTCCCTGAATGTGGCATTGAAATCTAGGGTAAAACTGGAGTCAGACTTACATTTTAATATCCACATCTAATTAGTAAAATCAGCAACTTTTTACCAAACTAAAGAGGTCTCTGCACTGAATCCTGTGGCTCACTCAGACTTTAACAGCCTTTAAAACAGCTCTGATACAAGTGTCTCCAAGTCGAAAAGTAACATGTTAGTGCCGTATGAGCCAACTGGGACTCTGAGGAGCACAGGGACTGGCCTCCTGCTGAGACTCTGAGGAGCACAAGGACTGGCCTCCTGCTGGGACTCTGAGGAGCACAAGGACTGGCCTCCTGCTGGGACTCTGAGGAGCACTAGGACTGGCCTCCTGCTGGGACTCTGAGGAGCACTAGGACTGGCCTCCTGCTGGGACTCTGAGGAGCACAGGGACTGGCCTCCTGCTGGGACTCTGAGGAGCACAAGGACTGGCCTCCTGCTGGGACTCTGAGGAGCACTAGGACTGGCCTCCTGCTGGGACTCTGAGGAGCACTAGGACTGGCCTCCTGCTGGGACTCTGAGGAGCACAGGGACTGACCTCCTGCTGGAACTCTGAGGAGCACAAGGACTGGCCCGCTGGGACTCTGAGGAGCACAGGGACTGACCTCCTGCTGGGACTCTGAGGAGCACAGGGACTGACCTCCTGCTGGAACTCTTAGGAGCACAGGGACTGGCCTCCTGCTGGGACTCTGAGGAGCACAGGGACTGACCTCCTGCTGGGACTCTGAGGAGCACAGGGACTGACCTCCTGCTGGGACTCTGAGGAGCACAGGGACTGGCTTCATGCGGGTCCCAGAGTCAGAGCTAAACATGGGGAGGCTGCTTTTCAGATTCTTGCAGCTAAAATCTGGAGCAATCTTCCTGAAAATGTGAGACAGGTATGTATTGTCATTATTCTGTATTATCTTCCTAATTTTGTCCATCACTTTGAGTTGAATTGTGCTATATAAATAAACCTGCCTTGCCCTTTGGATTCAACATCAATTCAATCTTGTTTTTAAAAATATATATATATTCCCCTTTGTTTTGCTTGTATCCATGGCTACAATGCTATTCTCACTCCGAAAGATCCCAGGCAAAGCACAGTGCAGAGTCTAGGCCATTAAAACCACTCGCTCCAAACACAGCTCATATCTCACATTCAATTTTACTTCCGTGGGAATTGATTGTACATGATTATTAATGCATAAAATTATTTCCAAATTACTCGAGACATTTTAGTGTTCAATTAAAATGGAAAGCTCGTGGTGTAATTTAAATATACAGCGGTGACATGCATCTTCCTTACATGACACCATTCATTATTCATGATGTTAATTTGCTCTGGAGTATGAGAGACGGGCGGCGAAACTGCGCTGGGTCCACGCTGTATGTGGTAGAGTTGGTGTAATTAGCTTGATTGCTCTCTTCCAGTCTACTGTATATATCAGGGATTTATTTTTTTACAGAAATACAATAACTTTCTTTCTTTCTTGTTTTTTGTTGTTGTTGTCTCGGCGGTACATTTACCAGCTACAATATATTTTAAGTTTAAGTCAATTTTCACATCCCTAAAGTGTAACATCCAGACTCTGAATTCCACTTTACACATATGGCTCTGAATGCAAATTTGGTCTGTGATTTATAACGTTGCGTTTTGGTTTTTCAAGATGACGCAATGAAAATATGAACATTTCAGAAGCTTAGAAATGGCAAGAGGAAAATCACATTTGTATTTGTCAAAGTAAAGTAAAGTGTTTTAAAGGATAACTTTAAGCTGATAACACATGCCCCCTTCATATTAGCGTTGATTATGGATTGCCTCTCACTGACAGAGAACTAGCCTGGTCTTACCATACCATCGTACTCATTTCATCTTGTACTAAGGTCTGGATTTGCCCCATTGACTCCGTTAACAGATGGGAGGGGTTAACTCCTTTTGCAGATTGAAACGATTGAATCTGAGTTTACCGTGATGTACAGTATGTAATGCGCCTGAGTGAGTGAGGTATTTAGCATTTAGCCTAGCTTTAGCATTTAGCCTAGCTTTAGCCATAACATTTGCTAAACATTCCTCTTGCTCTGGCTTCAATTTCTCGATATTTGGAGCCAAACCAGAACGGATCACTTTACTATTGCATTTGCCGCCATCGCCAAAGTACAACCAGCAAATTTGGCGCAAACACTGACACCGACCTACAACACCCGCCTCCCCCGCTTGCTGATTGGTCGGAGGCAGCCACTAGGACCAGACCCAGACGTACATGTAGGAAATGATAATGGACCGGAGTTTAAGGATGACTAAGGCCAGGCTAGTGTAGAACCAACTATTGTCAGCTCTGAAGCTCATGCCCTTTGAATATTACTGAAAGAGGTCAGCTTTTTCCAATGCTGGCGACAGTGAGACCCGCCCCCACAATTTCCTGATTAGATGCAATTAATTAAAATCCTTGATAGACAGCTGGGGCCAATCATCATGGGTCTAACATTCTCCCCCAACAAATCTTACGGGTGACGCTTACTCCAAGGGACAATATTAAACATGTTTATTATGAATAATTACACATTGATACTACGACAATTCCTATTTTCAAACAAAAATACAAATACAAATATCTCCTTTAAAGATGCAGTTAGCGATGTTGTTAGCTTAGCCGTTACACCAACTCAAAACCACTCCCCCCTCCCCTCGCTTCTCCTCCAAACCAAACATCCAGCATTTTCTTTTCTTTGTCACAACAGGGAGAGTGGGTGGCAAACGTGAAATTGGCATTTTCTGTTCAGTCATTTTAGGTTTTAGAAAATCCGATAACTCAGGTTCGCACACTCACGAAAAACAGGAAATGGCTGAAGGGGGTAAACACATCCCATTGGTTGGTTGGGGATGAACGAATCCCATTGGTTTATATTTATTGGTTCGCTCCAAATTATTTTTTGATATTTTTTGTAGGCTATAGGCATCTGGTCAATTCCATTACTATTTGAAAACACATTATGACCAGGGCTGGACTGGCCATCGGGCGTACCGGGCAATGCCCGAAGGGCCGATGCCCATATTTGGGCCGGTCTGTCTGCCTCATACAAAAAACATGTTTGTGAAAAGTGTAAATCCGTTGAGAAATGTTCGAGGGGGCGCGCGTGTCCGCGGGGCACCTGCTGTATGTACTTGAACGGGATTCCACCACCTCAGCGGCCGCAGTGTTCCCGCATCCAGCGGCTCTGAGCTGGACGCAGGAACCGCTCACCGGGAACCGCTCACAACACAACACGGTGAGCGCATAGCCGCAACGTGACCATGTACCCAAGACCATAAACGCGCACAGGGCCATGCATATCTTTTCGTAATTTGTGCACCCAATAAATGCACCGCTGCAGAAAACAGTCTGCGTCCCCCCTCTCCTCTAAATTAAAGCTCCGGTACCTAAATTTTCCATTGCGTTAATGTTTGAGCCCAAAAGTAATATGTTGTGAACAGATTAAACAGATTTAGAGCCAGCCAATGGCTGACAATATGCATTTCAGAAATGTTTACCAATTCTCATCCCTGTAACAAACAATATTGTCTGTGCCCACCTCCCTCACTCTGAGACATGTTTATTACTCTGTTTAATGTAGACTATTGCACTTTATTTTATTGTTGAAACTGCAGAAATCCTGATCCTCTACAGTATTTGCTTCCAAATACTGTATAAACCAGGGGTCTGCAACCTTTAGTGCCCCTAAAGTGGCTCCTGGAGCCTTTTCAAAAATGTCTGATAGTGGAGTGTGAGGGCTATATTTTATTTCTAGTTTGAATGTGGTTTCTGTAGGAGGAAAAACATTCTTAACGTTTTTCAATGCTGCAAAAACTTGTATAAGTAATATTCAATTTTAGCATTTCTGTCAACGTAGTGCGTCATATCCTGTGACGCAGCCCGTGCCAGGCTGCAATGAAAACACACGTTTGATAATCATGAATGGTTTTTATGTGTTTGTAGCCTTTACTTTGTCATTTAGATAATAGGCTAATATAGCTAATGTAGCTAAGGTAGCTAAGGTTGCTAATGTAGCTAATACAGCTTCAGCCCCTGTTACCTTCATATAAGCCTTATACAACGCTGTTTTTAGTTTTTTGTCAAATATGGCTCCTTGAACCTTTTGAGTTGCCTGGGCCGCTAAAAAGGAAAAAATGCCCGGGCCGTTTTTTTGTCCCAGTCCAGCCCTGATTATGACTTATACTTTTAGGGTTTAGGGACGTTTTCCCATAATATTAAAAAAAATGCGTCTGGAAAAAAATCACTGACTGCATCTTTAAAGCATATATATGTAAAGTATTGTTTAAAGATGTACTTTTCGAGTTTGAATCCTAAAAAAAAATGCAGCTAATAATACCAAATGTCTAATTCCAAACATATTGACTGGGCATCAGATTCATTATGCAACAGAATTCCATAACTGTTAGTCCATAATCTTGGAAATAGTGTCCTAGATATAGAGAACAAAGATCTAATAATTAAACCAATAGAAAATTCACAAAGCAAAATTCAGAATACTTCCAAACACAATTCATCGTGTCTCTGGTGGACAGGCCATTACAAAGTTCTTTTAGAATCTGACACTGAAAACTCCATAGTTTTGCCTTTTCCTTCATCCATATCTATGTTAATGTGTGCCAAAAACCAGTCAATGTCAACTCTAACTGTTTCTTTAAATCCGGTTATTGTTTGCCTCGAACATTTAGCATTAACCGTGTGCTGCGAGCTGATTGGCTGGTTTCTCGTACCTGTTTGTCAGTGAGCGCGTAGAGGAACTGGTGGTCCGGGCTGAAGAGCAGGTCTCGGAGGATGGGCCGGCCTTCGCTCACCACCACGTTCTCATACAGCAAAGACGGCTGACCGATCGAGTTCACCAGCAACTGTGGGGCGAAAAGAAACAGAAAAAACATCAATATATTGATTCTAAACAGCGGCATTATTATATTTGAATCTCTGAAGCGAAAAACAGCACATATCGCATTGCAATAGACACAGCAAATGTTGAAACTTAATGTATTGGGGCGTTTCATGCAATAATAATAAGCAATTTTAATACAATACATCTAATCTGAACCATTATTTTATTTTTCATATTTTTCCGGAGGAGGTTTCAATGCCTAATTCACGTTCATGCATCAACTTCAATACCTGTCACATCAACACTCGGACTCCCACAATTCTGAAACTACTCGAGTAATTTTGATAGCTCCCATTCAAATAAATACAATTCTGAAATGGCAAAAAAAAAATTTAATTTTGTCACTGTTTGTAAAAAACACTTAATTTTAATTACATTCTCAAACTCCGTCCATCCATCCATCCATACACTGTGTTGCTATGGTAACTAGCACTTGCTCAAAGCCAAGATGGCTCTGAACCAGTCTAGGGTCAAGATAATTTCATAAACATTACATGGATGCATACTAAATATAGAATATAAACTATAGATACAAAAATAAAATTTCACAAAGTTTTGGAGGTAAAACACTTAAGTAGGAAGACTAAAAATGCCGTAAAATTGACTGCTCTGGGACTTATAGTGTTAAACAATTAATTCTAGAATACATTATCCATTGGAGCCAAATCTATCAACACATTTTGCACCTTGACTTCTCCCATTAAATTTTCAATAAATGCTTCAAGTGTTACTAATTGAATATTCCCCACTGCATGTATAAACTTTAAATGTATAATGGTAGAATAAGGTCTTTTCTTATGTACAGTTTGTAGTGACCTGTTGTGTGGTCCTGACATGAGCTGATCCACATTAGAAAGGCAACCACTGAGACGTAAAACTCACTGTCTGCCAGCCGTTTTTGACGATTTCCCTGATTCTCAAGACCCACAGAATACTATGTGCTATGACTATGTGAAGTACTGTACGTGAAGCAGATTCCTGAAAAACTGGTTTGTCTCCTTTCATCAGCAAAAATATGTTTGTTTTTAGCTATTTTTGTCGTCCTGTAATCCCCAGTCGAACAGAGGGAAGTTTGACAAAAATCACCCGTCTTGGACAAATGGCGTCACTGCGTTCACAATCAGAATCAGAATCCTTTTATTGCCATGTGAGTAACAGGAAGTCACAAACTAGGAAATTGCTTTGGCTCTCGGTGCAAACAAGTTAAAGCAGAATAAAAACAAGAAGGCATGCATAAATGAAAATCTACATACATTCCTTCAGTTTACTACATACAAGTGCAGTAAGTACACACAATAGACTGTTAAGAGTAGCGTGCAGTGTTAAGACTATAGTGAAAAGTTCGTGTTTGCACTTTGCACATATGTTCAAAAAGTCATTTGGAGGTTATGCTCACTGACAAACACACTATAGCAAGGCAACCCAGCCCCTCCACAAACAACAACTACCATAATTCAAGAAGAAAGAAGAGCAAGTCCTCAAACTGACACCATTTTCCTCTATCCATCAACGGCAAATGTTCTTTTTTTAAATAACCCTATCAACAGTTGTGTGGATATTATAAATCAGGAGCAGTGTTTTGATAATGCCTCTGTGAGCAGATGCTTCATTAAAAGACAGATGCCGTCCCATCTTTTCTCTTTGTTCTCGTACATCCACTGCATACAAGTCAAGTGCTCAGACAAACCTGCTTTGAGTTTCACAGCAGGAGCTAAAACCCCGGATTTCACACTTTGAAGACAGAGCGGAGTGTATTGACATCCGTGTTTACAAGAGGCGGTGGGAGAGATCAAGGTAGGGGGTCCTGGAGGGGCCAAAATAGGACGCCAAGTATTCGTTTTGTCTGCCTGTCTCGAACGTGGTATTATCGGCTGACACGGATGAGGCTAACAACACTCACATAAGTATTTGTTTTTATAATGGATCCAGTTTATAATGGATTTGCTTGATTTGCTGATTACAAATTTCAAGCATAAATGGTATGTTAAAAGAGATAAAAGGCAATTATGCTGTTTATTCACAAATTATTTCTATTGGATCAATGCATTTTGTCTTTTGTCAGGATAGATGAAAACTTCCACTGAAAATAATGCAAAATGATCCAGCGTTCAGCAATTCAAATCCCTCTACTGGAAAAAAAGCGGTCTGATCCACTGACTATCCAGTGTTAACCAGCTTCCACAATTGCTTGTTGTTGTTGTGTCCTTGGGCAAGATACCTGACACTCCTCGCCCACGGTTCCTGCCTACACTATACAGCATTGTGTTTTGACTGTAAAACAAACAAACAAAAATAGCGGAAAACCTCAAATGGAGCTGGAGTCCATGCCCCCAGCGATCAATGCCAGTTTGTGGAAAACGGGATGAAAAGTTGAAAATAAGATAAGAAATCTTACCCAAAGCATAATCTCAAAAATTATAATTAAATAAAAGGAGCTAAAAACAACAACAGGATGATAAATAATCTAGTCTAAATAATTGTACCTATGTCCAATGTCAAACCAAGAAGTAAGGTTAAGCCAAGCCATACAATAATATATGGCTAATTATCAATCTTTATCTCAGACTCAAGATAGAATTAATTCATACCTGCCCCCATTGGGAAATGTGGGAAATGTGTCTAGTACAGTATATGCCTTCAATTCATTATAAGGGTGTGTTATAGATATTATAGTACTTTATGCACAGTTAAGCAAGTGAGTACGTGAAAAATATAGCATTCAGAAAGTACAATCACTCCATCGCTCACCCGCATTCTCGTACAAGTGGCACTTTCCCAAACAACTCTGAGTTGATTAGCATTGTATAGAACTGTGCTCATTACACATAATTAACTGACTCTCCACTCGTCGGGCTGAACACATGCTAGGCTGCGAGTGAGAAGTGTTCCTATGTGTATGGATGCAAATGTGCAGAGAGAATAGTCCACATTTATCACACTGATCCGCGCATGTGAATGAGTTGTATACCGTTTAGTGACTGCCAAAGCTGTAAACACTTGACTGTACTGCTGTGTGATGTCGCATGCTGAAAGAACGATGAATATGAGAAATGCAAAGGACAAAAGACAACTGGAAACCGTCAAAATGGACACAAATAATTCAGTGTTTTGAAGGAGGACTGTGTTTATAGGTGGTAGGCATAGAGGACTGACTGAGGGCTAGCGTTAACATAGTGTTTGGCGAATGCAGAATTAGCTGTTTTGTATATAAGCTAGCTGCAGCTATTATGTGGGCATTTGTTACCGACTGCGTAAGCTTTGCAGACGTGTTGCTAAGAGTGTTGCTAAGTCAAACTGGAGTATCCCCTGCCAATGCATTATCAATCTTCGATCTTTTGAATATCAATTTCAATATTATGCAGAGTCAAAGAAGTTAAACTATGGTACACACAACAAGGTTATGGAGTCATGTGTTATTCCTAAGACACATGTATATTGCTAAAACCAATAGGCAGCACTGGATCCATGAAACCCAAATACTTGTAAAAATACATCTATTATATTAATATACACATAAAACATTGCATTCCATCATTACAAATACAATGGGAATGGGAAACAGAACATAGCTCAAATTCCCTACAGTGATATCCCCGTGTTTCATCCAAAGCTATAAGGACCAAAGCTATCATACACTTAACCCAAAATGACTTATAGATTTTCTCGTGCCCCACTCTTGACTCTTTCACAGCCTGTCGAACCCGTCTCGCTGTGAACACTGACCCCTGCTGCCCTGGAGTTGCATCTTCGGTCTCTGCGTCCGTATAGCCAAGCTCTCCACTTACACTCTGACACTTGTAGAGGAAAAGTTTGTCCGGCCCCTACACCCTGCCGGAGCCGGAGCTATGCGGAGCCCTCCCGCCTGCAGCTCTGGGCAAAGGGCAGCTGGGGTGGGATTCGGGTCAGCCGGCACACAGGGGGCGCCAGACTGAGACAGGTGACTGGACATGTGCCATGAAGCCTCCGGCGTTTAGCTCTATTAGTGAGACCTGTTCTGGAAAGTTACAGAAAGGACTCCTCTCTGAAGTTTAGTTGGTCGACCTACTTTCTATTGCTCTTTGTAGAAGAAAATTGAAAGAATATATTTGCATGTTCTTTGCTGAAGAGATTACAGGTTCTATCCAATGGATCTCATGGATATTTGACATGTGACAATGGCAACAACATTTATGGATATTGGTCATTCGCCTTATGGACCAATGCCTCTATGTTAGGGCTGCACGATATATAAAAAAAAAATCGTTATCGCGATATTGGTGCATGCAATATCCATATCAAAAAGATGCCAATAAAATAAAATAAAAAAACAGAGAGACACATGAATATTCAGCAAGAACAAAAAGACAAACCAACAAAGTATATAAATATATGCATTTGAATGTCATTAATGCTGTTCTTATTTTTTGTTATTTGTCTCTTGCGTTTCAATGCAGATTGTATTTTAGGTGAAAGACAAAAATATTGCTATAATATTGTTATCGAAATACTTAACACTCATATCGAATATCGCTCTAATTTCTAATATTGTCCGGCCCTACTCTATGTGTTTTTGTATCATTGCATTTTGAGTGTTTGACTAATTCTCTGATCTGTGTTGGCGTATCATTGGTTTCCTAAAGTCCTCCAAAGTAACTGCTGCTGTGATTTAGGGCTATACAAAAATGCATTGAATAGAAGTAAATCAATGTTTCTAGCATGTTTATGGGTAACAAAATAATTTAGCACAACTTCAAATGACACTTCTTGCAATCACACCACTGTTGTTACGGACAATACACATCACCAAGTCATCCATTTTTAATTGGTCAAGAGTACATTCCAAAACGTGGCTGGTACTTGGATTTTATTTGACCTCACTTCTAGCATGTTAAGGAGGAGGTGGGTCAGCCAAATTATAAGTATGCCGTCTAGAGTGCTTTGTGCGCCTGGATTTGCAAAGGCAACGGTGGTTCAATTGGATAGTAATTCAAATGCGTATTCATTAATTCACTATATCCCAAAATACACAACTGCAACTGTTAGTACGTTTTACAATTGGGCTTTGAAGACACCTTCATCTCTTACTTGGCAAAAAAGCCAATAGAGCAGCAGGAATTTTCACTATTATGCAAATGTTCCCAGCTATTGGACCCTTTTTACTGTGGCCTTGAGATAACCCCAACGCCACACCATATTTTAGTCCCATTTATTCTGTATTAGAAGTCTAGGGAGTGGACTTCCATGTGTTTATCTTGCTGCTCTACCTGCGGGACCTGCCTCCATAAATCGGCTTCCTCCTCCCTGTGTCTGCTCCGTAAATCCAGGGCCATAAAAGAGAGACATCGGGGCATCTGGAACTTTTTTTATGCTCACATTTGTCCACTCCCTCTCCCTTTTTCTCCCCTTCTTTTCTCACTGCATGGAACTTATTAGCAAAGTGTCCGGGCTCTGAGATGAAAAGGTCCCCACGCTCCCTCTGCAAAGGCTGCCTGTTTTAAGAGGTGCTTATTAAATATGCTTTTACAGCCGCTCCTGGGACAGTTATTAAAGCTAAAAAAAACACACAACTTTGATGTTACTGACAGTTTAGGACTCATTAAAGTGCTCCGTTATTTCTGATTAGTTTACCTCTTCGCAGCTGACAATTGCACATATTTTCAGATTTCCCGATGGCGCCGGTCTCCAATGAGAGCAGCAAACGCTAATCGCTGCCATTTGCATTCAAATTATCTGCCAATCAGCTAGTTCCAAAACACAGTGTTTGTATGGAAGGAGTGACTAATCAATCTCGTCACTGTCGCTCCAACAGAATGAGAAATAATGCAGTCACACGATTTTAATGTCCTATTTCTGAGTTTACACAACAATGGTCGAGGCTGTTTTAACATCAGGTTTTTCAGCAAACAATATGGATAGTCCTTCAGCCACTGGCACGAAAGCATCACAAAGTAAACAAAATGGATAGGAAATAAATGTGTCAATGAAGTAGGTCTTGTATGAAAAGCAGATCATTTTAAAGCAACAGTGACTTAGTTTTGTGCCCCCAGCTTGAACATGTTTGTATCAGTGGGGGCGGGTCTCGGCTCCAAAAGGTCCATGAGCATGTGCGCGGACATGCCTGCAATCTCACTCCTTGCCAGTGGGGGTGTACCCAGAGAATAACCCAATGCTTTTGTATGCCGCCTTCTTTGCTCTTGGGCCAACGCCACGTTCCAGATGTTTTTGGATTCTGTTACAGACGGTGGCAAGACCTTTTTTGCTGGACTCTCGCCAGAAAATCCTGTTCGAATCTGCTGCACTATGGCGACGCTGCTACTGACAGAGGCCTGACTGGCATTTCAGGATGGGTCAAATGCATAGGACCATCCTCAGCCCAAGGTGTCAAATAGTCACTCACTGGACCCTTTCTTTCAAGCATGCAAAAGAAAACAAGTTTGCAAATAAGATCAGATTCATTCTGGTGAGGCAAATGTATGATTAATGGAAGGAAAAGTTAGGTACCCCAGATTTAATGAAGACAATGGCATATATGACAAAATAACAACAAACTCATGCATGCATTTCAACTGATTTTCATGTCTTGATAGTGTTTGATTTTCATGTCTCGTTGATAACCCCATGGACATTTATCTGATGCTCTTTCCCGCGCTGACGTGAGTGAGGCTACAGCGTTAGCGTCACTGCGGCGCTTGAGGCCAGTGTCATAAAGAACACATCACGGCTGCTGCGACCTCTGAGTGAAGGGACAATCTCCTGGTCCACCTTGAGTCGTCAGCCCCACAGAGACACCATCGTGAGGGGCCAGGGAGGAGCTGGAGGTGACTTTAATGCGGAGAAAGTTCTCGATAAACTAAACTTCGGGAAAGTTTCTTGTTCGTTTACCCTTGTCTTGGCAAACTAGCTTGTGTGTTTTGTCCCTTCTTTTGTCCCCCACTATTCCCCTGGGACCGTACTCATTACCAAACAATGCCACTAAAACCAAGGGCGTTCACACAAAAGCCACACAAGCTGCAGACAAGTACAAGCAGCTCATGTACTTCTTAAATTAAGTGCCAGCCGCCTCAAAATTCTGTATTATGCAGTGTTTATGTATGAGACCAATACTTAAGGGAAAGGATACGTACAATTATTGTCATTTTTTGGTCAATCTGACAATATTTGACCAAATCAACAGCAGCTCATCATCACCAGACAAATCCAAAATTTATTTTGTATAGTGACAAGTATGCTATCCTGAGTTCGACGCATTGGCTCCATAAGATATAATGTACCGCTATCATTAATGTAGTTATCTAAATGGAACAAAATGGCATTTGGTAAGTGTCTACTAAGTGCACATAACTAATTATGGTTGGCACTCTCACTTCTCAGCAAGAAGGTCCTGGGCTCGAATCTGGTTGGAACAGGGTATTTCTGAGCAGAGTTTGCATGTTCTCCCTGTGTCTGCGTAGGTTCCCCCGGTTTTCCTTAAACCATTAAAACTGTGGTAATATCTTCCAGCTCTGGTGTTGACCAAGCAGAGCATCAACAATTAGGAAATGGGTCACCAGGCGCATTATTAGGGTGCCGCTGCTCCTAACAGAGGCCTAAGAGGCATTGCAGGGTCAAACAAACATGGGTCAAATGCAGAAAACAAATTGTACCTAGGGGGGCAATAAAGTAAAATTATTGTAACTCCATCTTAACTTGAAGAATGGTCACAACTCATAATCTAAATGCTTGGCAGGCTGATTTTAGACCTAGTGGATGCATAACTATTGTTTATGAGTATATTTACAACCATAGTGAGATCAAGACAAACCATTGAAAACAGCACTGCTATCAATTACCTATTAAGATAACAGGACTTTAATAATCTTTAAGGCATCTTGTATCACAACAAAGCTAATAATCATCATGATAAAATGTGCTTATTAATGAAAGATTTTAACTGGATTATCCTTGTCATTACAGTCCAATACAAAAAGCCACTGAGTGTTGTGTCTAACCAGTACGTGGGCGTGTGCGGAGGAGGATGCTGTAATAAAAGTGGACAAAGGCAATAATGAGGTTTATATGGAGTTTTTTTCTGTGATAAATGCCAGTCTTGGTTCACTGTGCGGTCACACCTACAGTATGGGTCAGATACTAGGGATCTGACAAACATGTAATATGTATCTGCCCGAGTGTAATCCCCCGACGAATCATTTCTCCTTCTCCTCACGTTTTATCAAACCACTGTCAGACTTAAACTATACGCGCTATTTTTCTTCAGCATTCTATCCTCCCTTTTCTCTGTGGCTTATTTATGCAGCAAATAGATGGTTCATTTTTAACATTAGAATGGCCAAGGTTCACATACCAGGATGACTGCTAAGGTTGTTAAAGTGAGAAATAGTCTGGACATATAGACGACTGGTACGATTTAGCTTTGGTGCTGTGCGTGTGGGTCGGCACAATATTTATAAAGCAGATGAATGGTGAGGCTGGAATTATCGTCTTATTCTAATCTAGTGATGAATATGGGAATAGGTCTAAAGAATCTCCACATGCAAGCAAAGTTATATAGTTGTTTTATGTGTTGCCAATTGGACTAAAGCAGGTTGCCTAATATGCATTCCATGTCACTTCCTGTGTGTCCTCTCGTTCTTCTCCATGGGAAATCATGGTGTTTAAATATCTAAATTCTCTTACTATCGCAAGTGACTTTCAAACACAATGTTTAGAGAGCGATTGAACATATCTGGGGTAATATGGCTTAGATACTAGAGTGTTGACACCTCTTACTTAGCTACTAAAGAGTGAAGGTATAGTTACTCACAACATGGGTTTCACAGATATATCTTGAGGTGACTTTTACAAGTATAAAAACTTAGCCTCCAAAAAATTATCATGGATATCCATGCGTGTAGCAACTGTGCAAAAGGTCAAAAAGCAGAGGAAAAAGGCTGATAAAGCAGCCGGATTTTTCCATTGCTATAAGAATGGCTA